ACTTTTTATTAGCTAGGGAAATAGACATGGACAAGAAAAGGTGATAATCAGTATGGGCTTAGGTCTGGGCTGTAAGGGGGATGAGGTAGAACTTCCCAGCCTAGCTGGCAATTTTTCCTGTGTCTTTTTTGCAGTGTGCGGTTTGGCGTTATCGTGGAGAAGGATAACACCTTTTCTATTGACCAATGATGGCTCGGCTTCTTGCAGTTTGGACTGTACCACATCAAGTTCGGCACAGTACCGGTCTGCATCAATGGACTGACGGGGTGGTAAATAGTCTACGTGGATGATTCCTTTACAATTCCACCAAACAGTAACCAATGTCTTGTTGGGGTGTAGGTCCTGTTTGGGAGCCACTCACGAAGAAGAACCTTTTTTAGTCCACGATGAAGTTCGGCGAAAATTATCGTGGAGGATCCACTTTTCATCACATGTGATGATCCGTTTCCAAAAAGACACTCCATGTGACGTCGAAGCAAAATTGAACAGATGTTGAAGCGCGCCATCTTGTTGGCCGGCGTGAGCACATGAGGAATCCATTTGTTTTCGAGTAGCCCAAGTTGTGAAGGTGTTTGCGCACAGTGGATTCATTGCACTCGAAGTGCTCTGCCATATCAGCACATGTTTGATGAGGATCGCTTTCACTAGTTGAATCAATTTCTCTTTTTCGAACGGAGGCGGCTTTGTTCCACGGTCCATATCTTCGAGTTCCTCATTGCCTTCTCGAAACTTCTTGAATCCATCGCTGAGCGTCCCGAATGGTGATGTCCCTTCTCCGAAAGCAGAGGTTATCCGATTGACGGATTCGGAAGCGTTCAACCCAACTTTAAAGTCATATAGCAAACACAACCGGATTTGCACGCTAGACCTATGCATGATCTGAAACAAAAATTTACACATTCGAAAGTCAAATGAAAACCCAACCACGGGAACTGATAAACGACTTACCAAGCAGTAATAATCGGCAAAAGGGAGCACTTCAAATTATGTTTCCGCAAGGTGATCAAATTCAAAAAATGCGGGATGCAGAATGCGACATTAACACGTTGACGACCGTGTGGTATGATGTCATACCACACTCTTTCGGCCACGTGGGACCGTGTGACATGATGTCATGTCACAGTCTTTTTTAAGCTGGTTTTCAAACATTTTAGGTAACTTATTTACGTGATGTATGCGCCATACTTAGGCAATACAAGGCGTGGCCCCTGGAAAGAAGCTCAAAAGAACTAGCTCTATAACGCACTCACTGGGCGTTTTTGCGTTAGACTAGATATTCGTGTTCAGGAGCTCTAACTACATGTGGAAACACATTGTTAGGGGGATCGGGTTTTTCGCCTTCACTTGGAAAAGTGCTGTGATGCGGTAGCCGTAGACAATGTTAATGTCAGGATGAAAAAGAGAGAAAGCATTGAAACATGAAGGTGATTTCCCTGATGGGGGATCTATTGTCCCCAATAACAACAACAGAGTTAACACTTACATTCAGAATCTTCAATGCCACAAAAGTTGCATAACTTATATATACCGATTTACGAAGTTATACGATGACGACCGCGCTATTTTTCGCTGTCTGGCGTGTGGGACCGCGCGCATTATTTTGACCGCGCGAGTGTGACATGGCATCATGTCAACGGTCCCACGAGAACTCCTTTTTCTCAGGAAGTGTGTATTTGTTATCTTTCTTGTGTGGTAGGTCTCCGATTATGCGATTTTGGCCATTTTAGCGATTCCTGTGATTTGATCATTATTCAAACATTTTTAGAAAAACTCGATAGCCCATCAACCGAAGCTTCTTTCCAGGGACCACGCCTTTTGTAACAAGTGCCATGTTTTGTTTGCCTAAGTATGGCGAGGGGCGGAAGTGGTGTAGTGACAAGTGGCGCGCTTACCACGCGAGCGGTCCGGGATCAAATCCTGGGTCGTGAGTCGCCCGGGCCAACCAAGCCTTCCATCCCTCCGGGGTCGGTTAATTGGTACCAGACTTGTCTGGGAGGATAAAAACACTGACTTGAACATCGGCTGGCCCCCGCAAGTCATTGTATAGGCCACATCGCATTCAAACGCCACTACGAATGTACAAATGGAAGTAGAATGCGTGCCGCATCCCAAAAAGGGATTGATCAACGGCAAATGCTTTATCCTTTATCCTTTATCC